TTTCACAGATCTACGTGCCCCAGTGTCTAGTTTCAGAAACTGAAAACCGCAAGTCTGTAGCATTCACCGTTAAAAAGTTATAAGCGAAATATCGGAGTCCATTATATTTTGATACAGATAGTAGTATATAAACGCATCTGTTTTACATGATCATCATTTCGCAGTCTAAAAATCAATAGAAAAACGATTGTGGTGATTCTTTGTGCACATCACATTCCTGATCTACAAAATCAACAAAACTTCACAACTTATCTCTCGATCTAATCATTTTCATCTGAGTCAAAGTAAGAAAGTAGATAAGATATTGCTGATAGATGATTTCACTATATAAAAGTTTCATTGTGAATCTATCTCAAAAAACTTCTATATTTTTTAAGCTTTTGAATCAACATACGTTGCCGATTAGTGAACCTCTGTTAATTGTCTAAAGAGTGAAAATGGGTCTTAATGTTTATTTATCTTTTAATGGAAATTGTGAAGAAGCAATGAATTTCTATAAAAATATTATTAACGCACAAATTGAATCTATACAGTATTATGATGGTATATCATGTGTTAAATTTAGTGAATCCTACAAAAGTAAAATAGCTCACGGTGTTATGTTTATTAATGGAACAAAATTAATGTGTGCAGATGTGTGTGAGGATAAGAATTTAAATGTTGGGAATAATTTTTCATTGGCATTAGATTTTAAAAATGTTGAAGATATGCAACGTATGTTTGATGCATTATCTACAAATGAAGGAAAAATAACTATGCCAATACAAGATACATTTTGGAATGCAAAGTTTGGTATGTGCACCGATAAATTTGGAATTAATTGGATGTTTAATTATTGTAAGTCCCAAGCTTAAATTTAACGATACGGTCCTCCTACGCAACTAATTTTATTTCGTTTATTATCATAGGAAAAACTTTAAGGTTGACTATATACAACACAGATTAGACGGATGATAACGATAAATATTTGTTCCTTTTGTTTTGCTCCATTATTGTTCTTCTTGCAATTATGCGTTTCATGAACGCAATAAAATGTTTTCTTTAACTTTCCAGTCGATTGCAAGAATAGATTTTCGTGCTCTAATTAGTTTTGTCCGTTGTACACTATTCATGTGTTAAAAACCTTTTAGTTAAATGCATAACAACCAAACAATTTCTTGAAAGAAAGTGTTCTTAAGTACAGTAAAACCGTAGAAACATTATTGTTTGACCCATTGAGAATGACAAGCAATATACACTTAGCATCTATGATTATTTCCATAAACTTAATTTTCAAAATATGATTATGAGAAATGCATAATAATAGAGAGAAAGAAACAGTTACCGTAAAGTTAACTAATTGATAGTTACCGTTACTTTACCGATAACTACCGTTCCGGTTGCCGTTAC